TTGAACCGCCAGCCTTCTGGTTAGCAGTCAAGTGCCTTAGCCACTATGCTACCAGAGCTCATATATATATATATATATATATGTCTTTTTAAAATAAGAGACCTAACCATGTGATTATCAGCTGCCTCCTCACCCTTACCTGAGAGAAGTTCATGTTCCAAGTTGAAGAAATGATACAATTGTGATAGAGCTGTATACTGTGGGAACATAGAAGATACTGAATAAAGGGTGCTCAATATCATTGGTACTGTCTGTCTTATCTAGTGCTTTTATAACAGAAATACTACAACAGAAATACCACAAGTGAATGTCTTTAAAAAGAGAAAAGTATTTTCTTACAGTTTAGGAGGCTAGAAGTCCAAATTCAGGTTGCTGGCTCTAGGGGAAGAGTTTCTTTCTCTCTCAACTCTGAAGGAATGTCCTGTCTCTCTTGAGCTTTGCTCCTGGGAGATCTTCATGTGGCTTGGCATTTCTCTTCCCCCATCTCTGATTACTACCTTGTTTAATCTCTTTTATATATCAAAAGAGATTAACTCCCTATACATACCGTACATTAAGCACAGTGCCTAAAGCATCTGACTGTTAACCAGAAGGTTGGTGGTTCAAACCTACCAGCCACTCTGTGGAAGCAAGACTAGGCAACCTACTTGCGTAAAGATTTACCACCTTGGAAACCCAACAGGAGTCACTATGAGTCAGAATCAACGGCAGTGGGTTTTTGGTTTTTAATCCTGCCTCATTAATATAACAAAGATAACCCATACCCAGGTGGTACTATAACCACTGGCATAGAGGTTAAGATTCACAATACATGTTTTTGGGGGACACAGTTTAATCCATAACACTGTCTTACCCTGTTTTTATTTTTATTAGAATTTCTAGAAGTGGATGAATACCCAGAACATATTAAAAACTTGGTGCACAGAGAGAGAGAGTTGGAAGAACAAGAAAAAAGACAACGAGAAATTGAGCGTAATACGTGCAAGGTAGATTCTGTGATTTTACTTTTAGTTTAAAATTGCTGTTAAAGTTTGCGTAACTACAATTCTCATACTCATTGAGTTGATTAGATAACTACACTATCATGATCATTAAACATTGTAACAACTTTATTACTAAGGTAAGATTTTATTTTATGAATAAGAAATCCATAGCATAATGATAATACTCAGTACTTGGTAAGGAAGCAATGAGATGGACATGCTGATATTCTGCTACTAGAAGAGTAACTTGGTAAAACATACCTTTCTGTATAGAAATGAGGTCTTATTTATCAAAAGCCTTAGATTCAAAGTCTTATATAATTTCTTTTATAAAAATATTTCCTAGTCACAGATGCTGTAGAATTTGGATCCCAGGGATGAGATTCATCATATACATCCCAATATTTTCGAAACTAGGAAAAAATTAGAAACAACTTTAACACACGTCAGGAGGGGAGTGACTGCATAAATCATAGTATATTCTTGTAAGGAAACGTAGTCTTTGATTTTTTTTTATGATATGACTCACATTAACTATCGCATAAGTGAGAAAAATAGTTATGAGAGAGAATTATCCCAATTTTGTTTTAAGAAATGTGTTATATTTTTTATATTTCTTGTACTATTTTGATAATCAGGAAAAAATTACTGTCTACAAAAGAATTAAATTTTGACTCTTGACCTGGTGAGTTGATATTTTACATTTTTTAGATAAAATTATTCTGTTTGCATCCTGTGAAACAAGTAATGATGGAAAATAAATTGGAGGTTCACAAGGATAAGACCTTAAAAGAAGCAGTAGAAATGGCTTATAAGGTATGTTTAATTGTGTTATGCCATTTAAATATTGGTATCTCAGCTAACAATATTAAGATATTTTCCAGAGTTTTTATTATAGTCAATAGTAATATAAGCACTTGTAATAACTTCAATAGTCTATTTAACTCATATATCTTTAAAAGTACAGTTTATACCTCTCTGCTGGAAGCATACTCAATTGTGTGTGAGAATTTTTGTGCTCTGAAAGCCAGAACCCAGAATTAGAATTAGGAACAGAAATTATACTTTCTATCCAGTTGGCAGATATTTATTGTACACCTACCACATGAGGCATTTGATATACAAGAATGAGTAAGACATGGTCGCTAATCTCATGGAGTTTACCATTGGAAAAACAGACCAAATATACTTCAGCATCTTATTTTGCAATTATTTTATTGTTTAGACACTATAAACTGGTAGAATGTTGGATTAATTTATTCTGAGACCCTAACCATGAAAAGGAGACACTGTGCAAAAAGTTGAGGAAGAATATTCCAAGTAGTGGGAACAGCAAGTGCAGAAAATGTTAGGTGAGAAAGTGGTTGCCATGTTCAAGGAACTGAAAAAAGGGGGCGTTATGTATAAATTGTCATGAATGCAGGTAGAGTAACATAAAATTAAATTAGAGGCTTTGTAGGAATGGAAGAAATTTGCATTTTGTTCTAAGACTAATGGAGAGTTACTAGTTTGTTTTGCAAGGCAAATAGAAAAGGAAGCACTCTTTCAATATTATTCTAAATGTCACCTGTAATACTTGACAAATTAATTTCTTTTGATCTTTCTATGTAAACATTAGCAACATTTGACTGAAATGAAAAACTGGTAACGTAGAGAAAAAATTGCACACTATACGTATGTGTGTATTTCATTTATAATTCTATATAGAACCAATGAGAGAAAGAAAAGTAGCACACAAAATAGCTGACATTTTTCTTAAAGTCTGGTCCTGCACAACCTGCACCAGAATCCCGTTCTTATTAAAAATGATACTTCCTACTGATGAGTCAGAATGTTGGGGTAGAGCCTGGGAATATGCATTTTAAACAAGTATCTCAGCTGATTCTTAGGTCTACTACCTTTTGAGAATCACTTGTATTACATATTTGTCCTTCATAGCACTTACTAGTACTGAAATTTTATATTTAATTGAGTAACTTATTTAATGAAATGTCACTCTCCTTTGCCAGACTATAAAGACCATTGTGATTTTGCTTACAGTTACATCTCTAGTACTTAGTTCATTGCCTGGTACATGTTGTTGTTGTTGTAATTTGCCGTCGAGTCGGCCCCGACTCATAGCGACCCCTCCTTTTTGGTTTCCGAGGCAGTATCACTACGGAAGTAGGATTGCCCAACCTTCCTTCTGAGGAGTGGCTGGTGGATTTGAACCGCCAGCCTTCTGGTTAGCAGTCAAGTGCCTTAGCCACTATGCTACCAGAGCCTGGTACATAGGAGAGTTAAAATTGGGTGGGTGTATGAATGAACTAACAAACTTTGGGTTCCTCTCATTATAGTAAAAAGTTCTTTAAATGTAGTGGTTGACTGCAGATATCATCCTGGCAAAATACAGTGAAACTAATTGGAGTAAAATGGAGAAAACTTCTAAACAACAAAACAGCTTGACACAGTAAGATACATCAGTGTAGTGGTAAGAGTAGTTGATATCCCACCAGTTTTTAATGCAGGAAGAAAAATACCATCTTGAAAATAGAAATTAAAAGCTCACAAATAAAAGGAGTCTGAAAAATTGAAGAGAAAAATAAGCCAGTTATGAGTGCCATCTCTGTGGTGGGGTGGAGGGGATCATTGAGGACATACAAAAGCTTAGAAGTTTTTCTTGAAAATCAAAATTATAAGCCTTCTACAGATTTTGGCTACTTCTAAGCAGTCCTACTGTGTTTCTCCAGGAGGTTCAGTTTACCACTCGAGCTGTTCCATCCCAAAATACATCTACTACTGCTATGGGTTTGAGGAAAATTATATGATAGGAATTTCTATGCCATGTAGGTACTGGAGGCTGATATCGAAGGGATGTTCCCTCTAAGAATGGGGAGGCACTTGGGAGACAGAGAAGCTATGATGTTATTAGGGGCTTTAAAAAGTTGCTGTTCTTCTGTACTTCAGATTCGTTATTAGAGATACAAGCTATCAGTACCACTACAAATTGGATTAAGAATGCAAAAGGATGCATATATTAGTTGATTGGTGTTTTGGTGTTTTTTTTTTTATGTTTCCAGCTCAGTGGTTATAGAGCAATAGCTTGTAACACACTGATTTTCAGTTCATTTAAAGTTAAGGCCCAATATAACAACTAACCACAACAACAAAGTTTAGAATGTTAACGTTTTTAAAAGCCAAAAGTGACTGTAAAATCTGTTAGAGCATGTCAATTGTGTTAGATTCTGTTGAGTCAGATACGATTCATAGTGACCCTGTTACAACAAAATGAAACACTGCCTAGTCTTGTGCCATCTTTGCAGTCGTTGCTATGCTTTAGCCCATTGTTGTAGCCACCATGTCAATCCATGTTAGAGTGTAATTGTATGATTTGGGGATAATGAAACATAGCAAAGAAACTAAACCAAATTCACAGCCATAGTCATTTAAAAATAGCGTATTGTAAGTCATGCCTTTGACGGTGATGTCTTTGAACTTTGATGCAAGCATAAATATGTGGACTTATTCTTTGTTAGGACCTATAGATAGTTAAAATTATACACCAGACTGAAACACTGTGTATATATTTTTTGCTTTTTGCTGGGGGGTTTTCTTTAGATGATGGATTTAGAAGAGATCTTACCCCTGGATTGCTGTCGTCTTGTTAAATATGATGAGTTTCATGATTATCTTGAAAGATCATATGAAGGGGAAGAAGATACACCGATGGGGCTTCTACTAGGTGGAGTGAAGTCAACATACATGTTTGATCTGCTGTTGGAGACAAGAAAACCTGATCAAGTTTTCCAGTCTTACAAACCTGGGGGTAAGAGATTCTATGCTATTTTGAGTTGTATTGAACTTAACATTTTCATGAGCAGTTTTTTATTTGTTTACAGAAATGAATTGTGAATTTTTTTATGTTCTTAAAATGTAGGATAACTTTGACACGTTAGGAAGTAGTCACCAACAAGCTTGGAATTATGTTCTAGGTTACTTGCAAAGAGTCGTACAGAGAGTGTAAAAACCAAAACACCACAAAACTTCTGGCATACAATCTCCAGTGGATTTTTTTTTCTCACATAGGCAGTCCTCATGTTAAGAACTTCTGACTTACGGACGATTTGCCCTTTAATGTTACGTAAATTTGCCTTCGTTGTGAAACAGTTGAACCACCTCTGTTCCTGAAAGAGTTTTATCATAATTACCTTCATTATCACTTTTACTTGCTGCATATGCAGCTTTTAAAACATTGAAAAGGCTTCGAGCCTTTTCTTGGACTAAAATAAGGCTATGTAAGAACTGCATGCACCTGTTTGGACTTAACTACAAATTCTTAAAGACATAGTTAGGAACAGATCTCATTTGTAACCCAGGGACTGCCTGTATGTGCATTTAGTATTGTATATTCCATCAGTAGTGAATCATTCTGGATGCTATAAATCCCTAAAGTTACCTGATTCCATAGGAATGTCACTCTTGTAACACTTTATAGAGCAGCCCTGGTCCAAAAAGATGTGTGCCCATAAAGTATCAGAAGCAGAATCTCTTCTTCTGGGTCTCCCTGGAGGGGTAAATTTGTAATGCCATCACTGCCAACATTTTTAATTTTTTTCCCTGCCCTCTTCATTTCTTTAGGTCTAAGGACTTCAGCATTTTCTTTCTTCATTAAATCTATTATATTCATTTAGTATTTTGAGGTGTTTGTCTCTCTGCCCCTCTTTCTTAGAGACTAATTTGGAAAGCAAAATGCTGAAGCCCCTAATTTTACTCAAAGTCATCTCCAGGGACAGAGAAAGCATGGGCTTTCCCACGCCCAAGGTTTTCTAGTAATTACTGTAAGTAAACTGTGCAAAGTACAGGGGAAATTAATGTTTAAATAATTTTACAAAATTCTTACTGTATTTTACTTGATCCTAACTCTTTTATGAAAACGTTAAAAACCAAACTCACTGCTGTCAAGTCAATTCATAGCGACCCATCAACAACAACCTCCCTTTAGTGGGAAAATTTTATTCATGAAAACTAAATAATACCTACTTCAGACATACCTGTAATGGATCTATTTGGAGAATTTCTCTGTAATTTTTTTGAATTCTCACCAAAAAAACCTGCTGCTTCACTGATTAATTGGAATTCGGACTCATGTTTTCTGCTTTTATTCCTAAGAGTTAAACTTGTATAACCTTCTTCTGCCCTTTCAAATGCTGCTCATCTATAGATCCTATAAACCAAAAACCAAACGTTCTGCCATTGAGTCAGATCTGACTCATAGTAAGCCCTCCTTGGGTTTCCAAGGCAGTACCTCTATGGAAGTAGATTGCCCAGTCTTCCTCTGGTTAGCAGTCAAATGCCTTAGGCACTACGCTACCATAGTCTCACTTATAACATGAGTCAACGTTACTATTCTGTTTTTGATTTTTCAAAGAGCAGTATGTATCTTATCAGTAGTTTATGGTGGTCACAAATTCCACATTTAATTAACTCTGGTAGCGTAGTGCCTAAGGCACTTGACTGCTAACCAAGAGGCTGGCGGTTCAAACCCACCAGCCACTCCTCGGAAGGAAGGTTGGGCAATCTGCTTCTGTAGTGATACTGCCTTGGAAACCCAAGGAGGGGTCGCTGTGAGTCGGTTCCCACTCAACTGCACATAACAACAACAATTAACCCTAGTGGATTATTGTTTACTCTTTTAATGTACCATGATACCCTATGATATTTATCTATCTTAAATGTGCTGAGCAGGGAAAATAAATATCCATCAATAGGCTTACAACTGATGAGAGCATTTATCTTGGAAAGCTATTTCAATAATTATTTATATTTTAGCTCTGTTACTGTATTTTAAAATCTCTATCAGATACATGCTATTTCTTCTATCTAATTTCTAATTTTGTAAACTTCTATCTAATTTCTTTTACAAAATTTTATGAATCTAACTTCAATTTGATTCCATTAGGTTATATAACTATAAAACATATATCTTCATAAAATAAGTTTGTTTTCCTTCCTAAAAGTAAGCAAATTTTATTTCCTATTTTACTGCCTTAGCAGCAAATATTGTCCAGATAACTTTTCGAGATGATTTAGTTCTCTTGAGAGTGCTGCATAACTTGTTCAGTTGCTTTTCTTCAGCAAGAGGAAGTCAATAATGACAGTTACTGAGTTTTACCTTCTTTAAGAACAAGAATGGAAAAATCCAGCTTTTCAGACTATATTTCACTAAAACCCAGTGGGGTTCTGTGTCATGAATGATTCAGAGCTTCCAACATCATTGAGTTCTGCACTCATAGTCTTTTGCACATGGGAAAAAGCATAGCTAAGTCTACCTACATGTTCTGGTGGCTTCTGTTGATACTCTTAATTACTAGAGATGAGTAGAACCTTAAGCACTTGCATTTGCCAGCCACATTCATCACTGGGGTTGACCTGACAGTGAATCATTCCTCCTCTAATTTTTTTTTTTTTTTCCAAAATTGTTTTTGCTATTCCTTTGAATTTCCATAAGAATTTTAGAATCTGTCTGCCAATTTCTATGGAAGATCCTTGGATCCTTGTCGTTTATATTAGTTGCCATTGAGTTGGTTCCAACTCATAGCACCTTTATGTATAAAGTGTTGCCTAGTCTTGTACCATCTTTCTGTGCTATGTTTGAGTCCGTTCTTTCAACTACTGTGTCTGTCTGTCTGTCTGAGGATCTCCCTCACCTTGTTCTTTCCTTTAATGTCTTTGTCTGGTGTCAAGGAAATGATGCCTTCAAAGAATGAGTTGGGAAGTCTCCCTCCTATTCAATTTTCTTCATTAAATTTTAGGTAGAATAGACCAGTCAAATTCTTTGGTTGTAATTTCTAATTTAATTTCTGTATGATCAGAAAGCATATTCATCATTTTAAGCTTATTGAGACTTGTTTTATGGCTGAGCAAAAGGTTAATCTTGCTAAATATTCTAAGTACACTTGATCAAAATTTATTCAAGAGCATGGAGTATTTTATAAATGTCTATTTAGTCAACTTGGTTGATAGTGGTGTTCATGCCTTCTATTTTTCACTGGTTTTCTCTTCTCTATATGTTCTTTTAGTTACTGAGAGCAGAGTCTTGATGTCTTTGACTATAATTGGGGATTTGTCCATTTTTCCTTTCTACTCTATGACCTTTTGCTTCATGTATTAGAAATTTTAATTTTATATGCATACATCTTTAGAATTTTGATGTCTTAATGAGTTGACCCCTTTATCATTATGTGTTTCTCCTTTTTATGCTTCAAAATATTCCTAGTTCTGAAATTCATGTGATTTTTTTTTTTTTTTTTGTAGTTTGAGTGAAAATTTACACAGCAAATTGTTTTCCATTGAACAATTTATACACGTTTTGTTTCTGAACATTGGTTGCAATCCCCTCAGTACTACTTTTTGTAAGGAGAACTCTAAATATATGGATTCTGGGACTTCCAGCAAGATGATGGGCTAGATAGACAAGCTTCTCAGACCTTTTACAACAAAGATGTGAGAAACCAAATTAAAACAGATACAAATGATAATCCTGGAACCTTGTGCTTCAAAGGAAAAGATAAAGAAGTGGATCAGATACTGACTGACCAGAAGAAGAAACTAAATGAAGGCAGCAAAGAAGGAGACAAACACAGCTGCGAATTGTTAACTGGTCTGACACCGAATGATGATTTTGAATTTTTGTAAGCAGCATTCCAATTGGGGCAGCAACCTGATAATTGGTTCTGCTTGCCCAAGACTAAAATAAGCCAGGCTCTCATATAGGTAGATGGTGACCACGAACAGAGAACTGCCTACATTCTCTCATCCACTTTCATACCCACTGGGAGACAGGTAGTGAAGGCCTAAGTGCTGCCAAACTAGTGAGCAGAGTAGCACACTCACTCCACTTTCTCAGATGTGTTAAAACAAACAAACATAGGTGAAATACAGCAACATATAATCATCGATCAGATACAAATATAATAGCACCACAATGTCTTGGAGACAACAAACAACTTCGTTGCTCACAAAGCAGCAAGACAGAGTGGCACAAAAAAAAGTGACCAGAATACAGAGCCATGAAACCTCCCTGAGGAAGAAATGCATTGGTACTACCTGATAATTTCAAAAGAATTATTTTTAGGTACTTTCAAAGGATTGAGAGAAAGATCAAGGGAACCACTGACAAAACCGAGGAAAACACAGCTAAAACTCTAGAAGAATTTAGAATTCAAGAATAAACTGGCAAAATAAATGAAAAATTAGAATCCATACAGAAAACACCAAATAGAAATCTAGATTAATCCTAAGACTTTAGAAATAAACAACACATTGCAAGGGCAAAGGAGTAGAATTGAATTGATGGAGGACAGAAATTGTGAGATTGAAAAATTTCTCAACACTACCCTATTAGAAGAACAGTAAGAGAAAAGAACCCCCCCCCCAAGAAAAAGAAGAAAGCTTAAGATTTATGTGGGGTGTCATCAAGAGAAATAACTTAACCATGTGATCAGATTTCCAGAACAGGAAGAGACAAAAATAAACACTGAGACAATTGAAATTTGTTGGAACAAAATTTCCTTAATATCATTAAGGATGAGAAAACACATAATCAAGAAGCCCAGTGAACCTCAAATAGGATAGACCCCAAAAGACGGTCACCAAGACATCATAATCAAATTGTCCAAGGCTGAAGACAAAGAATACTGAAAGCAGTTTGGGAAAAAATGAAAAGTTACTACAAAGGAGAAACCATAAGGTTAGGCTCTGGTTTCTTGACAGAAACCATACAGGCAATAAGGCAACATGATAACATATAAAACCATGAAAGAAAAA